GGGCCAAGCCCTGGCGGACTTTGTGACGGAGTGTACCGCAAGGGCAGCCACGGACGGGGAGCCCTCGGCTACCCCGGACCAAAGCATGCGGGGGAGGGGTAGTCCTCATTACTCCCGAGGGCTTCAGAGCCTACTATGCAATCCGCTTCTCCTTCAAAGTCTCCAACAACGAGGCCGAATATGAGGCCCTCCTATGTGGCCTTCGGCTGGCTGCCAACATGAGGGCTCGGCAGATCCACATCAAATGCGACTCCAAGTTGGTCGTTGGCCAAATCTTCGAGGAATATGAGGCCAAGGAGGGAAGAATGAAACAGTACAAGGAAGCGGCCAAGGAGTTGCTTAAGGTATTTGAGGCACACTCTCTCACTCAAATACCGAGGGCTCAGAACTCCGAGGCCGACATATTATCTAAGCTCTCGGCCGACTCCCCCGAGCACATCTCCAAAATTGCCAAAGTTGAGGAACTCAGCCTCTCAAGCATCCATGCAAGCCCCGTTATGAACATACAACAACGCCAAGAGGATTGGATCTCAGATATCACCGCCTTCATCTCCACAGGGTAGCTACCCGAGAATGAGACCCGCACTAAACTCGCAAAGATGAGGGCTCCTAGCTACACCATCGAAGATGGAAGGCTCTAAAAACGATCTTGCAATGGCACGCTACTTCGGTGCCTTCATCAAGATGAGGCCGAGGTCGCAATGGAGGAAATGCACAGTGGCACTTGCTCAGCACACCAGGGACCCTTCTCCATGTCCCGAAGGCTCATTCTACAGGGCTACTTCTGGCCAACCATGGCCAGAGATTGTGCTGACCTTGCCCGGAGGTGCGCCGAATGTCAACATTTCCAGAAAGCCCCCGGCAGGCCAGCGGTCAACTATGCCCCCATCAGCACATCTGTCCCCTTTTATCGATGGGGGATAGACCTTGTGGGCCCTCTGTCGAGGGGTACCTCCAACAACAGATACATCATTGTGGCCATCGACTACTTTACCAAGTGGGTGGAGGCTGAACCCCTCGCCAGCATCACAGAGGCAAAGTGCCGTCACTTCGTCCTCAAGAACATCCTCACAAGGTTTGGCGTCCCCCAGCAGATCATCTCCGACAATGGGACACAATTTGAGGCAGCCCCCTTCTGTGCCCTTCTGGAGGCATGGGGCATCAAACACACCTTCTCCTCCGTTGCCTACCCTCAAGGCAACGGGCAAGTAGAGAATGCCAACCGGACCTTGCTCGAGGGCCTCAAAAAGAAGCTGGAGGCCGAGGGCGGTGGTTGGGTGGAAGAACTCCACAACATCCTGTAGGCCTACCGCACCACCCCTCGGCGAGCAACAGGTGAAACACCCTTCTCCCTCTGCTACGGTTTTGAAGCCAAAGCTCCTACGGAAGTCACCCTTCCCACCCAGAGGGTGATCCAATATGACCCCGAGGTCAACGACAACAACATGGCCCTCGACCTCCACCTCCTTTCAGAACGCCGGGAGCAAGCCTTCATCCGGGCAGAAAACTACCGAAGGCAAGTCAAAGGCTACATCGACGCCAAAGTTCGCACCCGAGAATTTCAAGTGGGGGACTATGTCCTCCGGAGGAGGGAAGCCAGCCAAGCAACCGAGGGAGGAAAAATGGCACCAAAATTCGAAGGCCCCTACATCATAGCAGCCATCATCAAACCTGGGACTTACAAGCTCAAACGCCCCAACGGGAAAGAGGTCTCTAGGCACTGGAATGTACACCATTTAGTTAAATTTTACCAATAATGTAAGAGCGGCCAAGCCCTCATAACTAATGAATGTACTACCCTTTGGCCCAAGGCCTCCACTTTTGAGGAATGAAGACACATTCAAGACACCAAGCCCTCATACTGACTACAGGCCCCAGGCCTCACCACGAGAAGAACCCCCTCCGGCACCAAGTGCCGAGGGCGGACACCATCAACACCTACGACAACAGTGAGAACACCATGTGTTTTCAGTCAAGACCCCTCGGTACCAAGTACCGAGGGAGGGAACTCCTATCACCAACGACAAGGAACACCATGTGTTTCATTTCCCTTCGGCACCCAGTGCCGAGGGTACATCCCCACCTTCAACATCAAAAAAGAAAAGATAAGAACACCAAGTGTTCCTACAGAAGACCCTTCGGCACCCAGTGCCGAGGGTACACCTCCATCATCAACATCAAAACGAAGAAAAACACCAAATGTTTCAAAGAAGACCCCTCGGCACCCAGTGCCAGGGGTATGCTCTCTTATCAACTTCCAAACATCTGTTGGGAAACACCAAGTGTTTCCCCCGAGGGCCCTCTGGCACCAAACGCCGAGAGCGAACACTCCAATCAAAACACCAAGTGTTTCATTTGAAGACCCTTCGGTACCAAGTACCGAGGGTAGACATCTCCATCAACTACAACCAAAGAGAACACCAAGTGTTCCTACAGAAGACCCCTCGGTACCAAGTACCGGGGGCTACACATCGAAACTAACACCAAGTGTTGTTTCTAAAAGCCGTACCCCACGAGGATGCATATACCGAAGGCGCCACCATCGGTGCCGGCGGCACGTAGTGCCCCCGGCCATTTGCAACTAGTGTGCAAATGAAAACCCTTCCTTGAAACGCTTTCCGCGTCACTACCCCCAGGGTATGACAGGCATGAGAAATGCCCAGGATTCGACTTTCAAAAACGGAACGCTATCCGCGTCATCACCCCAAGGGTATGACAGGCACGAGAAATGCCCAGGATTCGACTTCCAAACCGAAACGCTCCCCGCGCCACCACCCCAAGGGTGTGGCAGGCCACGGACTATGTCTAGCGCCGAGGGGACGACTTTCAAAAATGAGGCGCTTTCCGCGCCATCCCCCAAGGGGAGGCAGGTTACAGACCACCATATCTTGTGCCCAGGAAACGACCCTCGATCCCCTCGGAACTCGGAAGGTTAACCCGAGGGAGGAGAGCCATTGGTGTATTCTGATGGTCTCCTGATAGGCCCAGCCTTACCAAGAAACCAAGTTTCTTGATGCCTTCCCTTCGCCACCAACCAAAAAAAAAGGTGAAGGGGAGTAGACTCAACGAGAAATCAAAGAGTACACTCCAACAAATCACAACATGCCGAGGGCTCCCCACGAGAACACCTCCGGTAGTTGAAGGCTCCTATTTCCCGAAGGATACTACTCAAACAAATATCATCAAGAAACGGCTAAGTCCACTGTTTGGTCACCTCCGGTCACACAAACACCGAAGGCTTCAACAATACGAAGGGACTGGACTATCCAAAGTCTATTAAACGGTAATTCAAACAAATACTGAGGGCATCTGTTACGCGCTAATACCAAGGGCACACTTTTGGAAAATGACAACAACCAAAGGCATCTATTACAAATCATCAAAGGCCAGACCGAGGGGGCTTATTCCAAAACAGTTGCCCCTCGGACGGACTCCTCACTGATCGAAGGTTCAACATCTACGACACACTTTGAAATTTTTCTAAGTCCCACATATTTGTCCCTCGGTCAAATACTCATACAACACAAGGGTCTCACGATCATCCGAAGGGTCCTATTCATATACCCGGAGGGATCTACATCCGGAAGCTCAACATCAACCTACACTTAGAAAATATTCTAAGTCCTAAATGAGTAGCCCCTGGGCATCTCGCAAAAGTGACACAGAGACAGAAGGCACCTATCACTCCAAGGCAACACAAGGAAGCAACACTTAAAAAAATTCTAAGTCCTAAGGATGGGCCCCGGCCCAATCAATATTACAGCTAAATGAATATGACATTCGAAGGCTATGCACCAAGAAGGGATGCCATCTCCCGAAGGCTCCCAAGGGAAAATCTACACTTAGAAAATTTTCTAAGTCCTACATATTTTTCCCCCGGTCAACTACTCATACATCAAGAAGGGATGCCATCTCCCGAAGGCTCCCAAGGGAAAATCTACACTTAGAAAATTTTCTGAGTCCTACATATTTTTTCCCCGGTCAACTACTCATACATCAAGAAGGGATGCCATCTCCCGAAGGCTCCCAAGGGAAAATCTGCACTTAGAAATCTTTCTAAGTCCTACATATTTCACCCTCATCTCAAGGGACCTAATAGCCGAAGGCTACCTATCAATCAAAGGCTACAACACACAAGGAATCAACACTTAGAAAAATTTTCTAAGTTCTAACTATTGCTGAGCCCTCGGTTGTACATCCAGCAAAGGGTGCCCAACCACCGAAGGCTACAACCATATTCAGACACTTAGGAAATATTCTAAGTCTTAGACATACATTCAAAAAGGAGAAGGCATACATTCAAAACATAGGGCGCATTCAAATGTTAAAAGCCCGGAGGCAGCATGCATTCATCAAGAACAGGAATGAGTGTAAAATTACAAACAGGCCGAAGCCGAAGGATCAATGGTGTTCATTACAAAATATGTTCAGAAATTTCTAAGTACAAGTCTTCTATGGGACTTCAGCATCATTATCTCCGGGGGCATCTTCTACGGCAGCTTTGGAGGAGACTTCTTCCCCAGCAGCATCACCTCCGACGGCTCCGCCCCCATCACCCCCATCATCACAGAATCGTATATCGTCGGCCGCTCTTCGCCCGGGGGGAGGGGAACTCTCACGTCTGGTTGCAATGGAGGGAGGCCGTATGCTGAGGGGTCAAATTGATCGAGGGATACGCCAAAGTGCCTGGCGAGCCTCCGGTAAATCAAATGCTGGGTAAAGAATTCACCCCCCTGGTAGTAGGCGTCGCCCCTATCTGTAAGCCAGTCAACCCCGGGGCCTTCTACCCAAGCATCCACCGAGGCCGCCACCACGGAGGCCACCCACTCCTTATGGCCCTCGGTCCTCCAGCCCTCGGCAAGGAACTCAGCAACTGCCTCCCCTTGGGCCTTGGCCACAGCTCCCTCCTTGGCGGTTTGGGCTTCATCGACAACTTTCTTCGCCGCCTCGGCAGCAACCCTCTCGGCCTCTGCCTTGCCCTCGGCTAGGCCATCGGCCTTGGCTTTCTCCGCCGCCGCCTTCGCCTCCCGGAGGGCCTCCTCCAGCTGTGCAGCATGCTTCATCGCTTCAGAGTTCTTGCGAATCAGCCCCTCCATCTTCTTGTCTTGCTCGGCCTCGTGAAGGCGCCGTTCCTCACGCCTCCGGGCCTGTTCCCCGAGGGCTATGCAGGCCTGCAAACAATGATCAAAGGAGTTAGATTATCCCCCAGAAGAAGAATACTAAACTAATAAAGGAAACAGGAAGCAAATACTTACAGTGAGAGAGGACCGGAGGATCCTGTTCTTGAGGGCATCGTCGTCGTATGTCTCGAAGACTTCTCTATCCAACTTCGAGGTGATGCCCCGCAGGAAGGCCCTCGGCTCGGCAGTACCGTGCATCAGTGAAGCACCGGGGGCAAAGGAGAGTTGACGGATCTCCCGGGGTAATTCCTCCGGGAGGAGATTCACCGGAGCCTTCGGGGTGACCGAGGCCAGAGGCCCATCAGTGGAGGGCATGTCATCAATAACTATGAGGGGGGCCGCCCCCTCAACATCGCCCCCGGCGGCTTTCTGCTTCTTGGTAGGGGGCTCCACCCCCTTACCACCCCTCTTCTTCTTCGCGGCCGCCTCGGCCTTCGACCCCCCGGTCCCCTCAGCAGCATGGACATCCCCAGCAGAAGGCTCTACGACCTTCGGGAAAAACGCATCGGCTGGCTTCTGGCCCGAGGGCCCCTTCTCCTTTGCCTGGGTCTTGCCCTTCCTCTTTGCAAACAGGGCATTGGCATTCATCTTGCTACCTGCAAAGAACGACAACAACAAGTTAAAAGGTTAGAACCGAGGGGTCAGAGACACGACGACAAACATGACAAAAAAAAATTCTAAGTAAAAAAATCTAAAGCCCTCGGCCACTACCTCCTGCTCCCACGAAGGCTTTATCATAGAGGGGATACTTCTCATCGGTCTCCCCAATGAACCGATACCTCAGGAATCCGAGGGCATATAGGTCTTCCTCGAGGATGCACTCCTTGATGGTTATGTTCTTTTCCCGACCCTCTGGAATCTTGGCAATCTTCAGGTCATCCTCCTCGAGGGCGGCACTCTTGACCTTCACGTGGCGCCGAAAGCGATTTCGCAACTCCCTCGGGAAAGGGCTGTCGGTCAGTCTGATATAGCACCATCGCTCTCTCCACCCTTTGTTGGAAGAAGGGGCCTCGGTGAACAGTTTGAACTGGGCTATCTGCTATAAGTTTGCATAGCCCTCGGCATTAGTATGCCCCCCCGGCATAGGTTAAAACTTTGGAAGAATAACTCCAAGCTCGGTGTAACCCCCCGGAGTTTGCACAGGTTCACGAACCCAGCTATGTATGAGTGGCTATTGGGGGTCAATTGACAGGGAACCAGGCCAGTGTACCTCAGGTACTCCCGGAGGAACGGATGGAGAGGGAACCGGAGGCCCATTGAAACCGAGAGCACGTGCACGGCTATACATCCCTCGGGGGGCCGGGACAACACGTCATCACGACCTGGCTCGACTACTATGGCCGAGGGCCCTACATGCAACTGGGTGATGTAGAAGTCCGCCTTGTCAGCTTGGGACTTAATCTCCAGAGCGGTGGTGTCCAGGAAGGAGTGACCCTCCGGCAGATCAACTGGCCCCCTTGATCGATGGCCTTTACTTTCTTCTGGGGGCCAGCCTTCGTCTTCCTCCTCTTCTTCCCGGGGGCTACACTTAACGGCGTCGGGTCCAGTGGCCTCGAGCTACTTGCTTCCCCAGAACCCCGGGGGGGGGGGGGGGGGGGGGGGGGGACAACGACAGTAACCTTCGCCCTCTCCTTTTCCTCTTCCTCCTCAGCAACTTGGACGGCGAGGGCCAACTCCTCATCTTCGGTGGTTCGCTCGAACTCCTCCGCCTCGACCTCGGCCACCAGATCCTTCTGCACCTCGGTGGCGAGAGCTGCATCACCACCACCCGAGGGCTGACTGCTACTGGACTCCATGTCGGAGATGCTTTCGTCCTGAACCGAGGGGGTCCTCGAGATGTCTTGAGAATCACTCTGGGACAACATTCTAACTCTAGCTCGAGGGTTCGGGGGAACTAAGGTTTTCTAGAGAATTCTATCTCCTAACCTAAGGGCACAAGGCACAGCTAAACTAGAAGGAGAAAGGCAGGGGGGAACTGACCTTGAAAGCTGAGTTTTGACCGAAGGCTTGAGTTTCTCTCTCTAGAATTTTTGGCAGAGCTTCGCTAAGGATGTTGGATGCGTAAAGAAGGAATGGCTCTGGCCATGGGGTATTTATAGACTCCAGAATCCGGTCTTGGGCCCAAAAACTGGGCCTCCGGCCAAGCGTCATCATTACACACCGTCGTTTCACCCAACCGGTGACGCCCGCCCACGAGCAGCCAACGGCTACACTCCACGTACGTGTACCCCCCCAACGGCTATAAATCTGACGTTACATATTCCAACGGCTATATTTCCAACGGCTATATTCTGGAAGCCCCCGGGTTTTCTACTTCACTCCACTTCATCAAGGAGAGCCTCCGGGCACACTTACCCAGAGACGCCCCCGGGTTGTGCCCCACACAGCACATAACAGACGCCTTCGGGATCACTCCTTCAGAAACCCAAGGCTTCATATCAGGGCACCCCTCGGGAATTCCCCCTCAGCACTGTAAGAACCGGGTAGCCCCCGGGGAGTTGCCTCATTGACAGATAGCCTACGACACACAGGTAATGGGAGCCCCCGGATATCCCCATCACCAACTAATCAGCAAGCAGGGGACCCCCCGGTGACAATTCAACTACTGCCCTCATCCATCGCGCCCTCGATCCCCAGATTGAGGGGCTCCCCTTCGGCACCCCCAGGACATCAGCGGCAAGCCTTCGGCTAATCAACACATGAGCCCTCAGAAGAGAGAGCCTTCGGCATTACCGTTATTCTCCATTTTTGACCAAGGTTTCACATTTTCGATTCATCATTGGGGGAATTCGGTGCACTCTTTTTCCCTCATTAGGATTTTTTCCCACAGGGTTTTTTCTAATGAGGTTTTTAACGAGGCATCCCCCCAAAATGAAACGAAAAGCGTCAGCCTTCGGCCCACAACAACAACGCAACTACTCTACTCCTTTTCACCACTTTACAAGTGCCTCAAGGAGTGGGGGACTGGAGGACCCCCTCGGGAAAATCATTAAATTACAAAATTAGTGAAATTCCAACAAACGACAAAGCAAGCCCTCAAGTCCCGACATGTGGGTAACTGACGGACTGCCTTCGGTAGGGACATAAAAGCAACAACTCCTCACCAACTTCAGAGATCACGACAGGACAACATCAAAGGGAAAGCACAAATTACTCCTTTTCCCTCAAATACCTTTCGGCAAAAGGAGTGAGGGACTCCTGATGGAGTATATGGCCCGGGAACCCCCGGCCCACAGACTCCCACTACTCCAGTGGAGGCCCAACAGGCCCAGAAGGCCCAACAGGCCCAAATCACGACGCCCAGAGTACCAAGCAGCCCGCAATACGCACCAGGGGTGCCTTCGGCCCCCTGGCCGAAGGCTCCAAACTCTCACAGAACGGATATTTCGAACAAACAGAGGGACTGGGTGAAAACAGCGAAAACAGTAGCCCTCGGCACCTGGAGCCCTCGACACTCAGGGGTCCTCGGCACTAAGAGCCCTCAGCTAGTCCTCTGCAGCCGAGGGCACCTCTCCCGACATGATATCTGCCTCACATGCGTACAGATCACTGTACCCTGTACAGACGTCCCATCCAACAGCCGCATTAAATGCGGCCACATGCGGCTTCCAACGCCAACCAGTTGAGGTGACCTCTCGGCCAATAGGCGCTTGACACGTGTCCCTGTCCGGCATGTATTGCTACTATAAATAGCACCCCATTTCCCCATTTGTAACCACGCTGAAAACGCTCCACATTTATAATACACACTCTCTCTCTCTACATTTACTTGCTCTGACCTCTCTCTAAGTCATTCCCAGCAATAACCCTTCGGATATATACCCCCGGGTAGACTATCCATCACCTAGTTATGCCAAGTGTGGCTTGAACAATTGTATTAATGCTTCCGCTGTTTGAAATGAATGTTTTACATTATGTTTGTTTATGGATGTACTATGTGTGAATGATATTCATGACGCCTTGTATAGTATGGATGAGTTGGACTGCGGTTGACTATTCGTACTGTACGGCGGGTTGTTGACGTATCCGGCTAGGTCCGGGGCGTGACATGCATCACCACCACGCTCAACCTATACATGATTGAGTGCACATGCTATCCACCATAAGTTCAAATAACAATGAAATAGCTCTCAGGACAAAGTTTATGAATAACAAATTTAAACAACGATAATTAGTCAAATGTGTGCAACTAGCGGAAAACTCGGCAGCAAGTACATCAATCTTCATAATCATAATCATCTGTACAGTAGAGCAAAGAGAAGGAGACAAAAGAGACAAAAATTAGCTTTAGAGCTAAGTAAGATTCCACTCGAACCCGTAAAATAATATAATTTGGAAAATAAGTTTTGTGTATGTATATATATTGAAAATACCCTCTCATATTTCCAAAATAACTTCATGTCTCAAAATAATTTCTTCAATAGATAATGTCATTTCTCAATTCCTCCAAAAGTAATACTTTAGATTTCTTTTAAGAGTGGGCGAAACTCAAGATTCCTTGAGCCCAAGGAGTCGTTGTTATTTACGACTCATCCCGGGATTCCGGCTCCCACCGACTAGGGGTGAGCAAATAACCGATTTAACCGACCTGACCGAAAACCGATGACCGAACCGACCGAAAAAATCGGTTTTCGGTCGGTTTTCGGTTATAATAAAATAAAAATAATCGGTTATTCGGTTATTCGGTTTTTATTCGGTTATACTTATCGGTTATCGATCGGTCACTGATAACCGTCCAAAATATATAAGTATATATACTCCATAGTAGAGTAGTCTTCCTGTCCGGAATTCCGGACAGGAACCGCCGTCCGGCCGACGGATTTTGGGGCTCTTCGGGGTGGAGTTTTTTTTATGAAATTTGTATTCCATGTTCTTCATTAAATTTAGTTTATCCACAAAAAATGTCAGCTAAATATTCCATCGGGAAGGTCGTCAAATGATTTTTGGAAGTTAACTGCGCTAAAAAATACATAAAAAACGCAGTTAACTTCCAAAAATCATTTGACAAGCTTCCCGATGGAATTGTTTTCTCAAATTTGGTATGGATAAACTAGACTTGATGAAGAACATGACATAAAAATTTAATAAAAAAATTCCACCGGCCGGTTATGGTTGGTTATTCGGTTACCGACCGAAACTGAATGACATTTTTCGTTCGATTTTTGTAATGTTGTCGGTCGGTTTTCGGTCGGTTATTTGAGTAAAAAATATT